TATATTTAAAAAATTTAATAGTTTATATTGCTACATTATTGTTGATTCCATATGACTTAATGAGATAAATGAGTTAATGACTTGATGAAATATGGGTGTTAATGAGATAAATGAATTGATGACTTAATGAGGTATGGGTGTTAATGATATAAATGAGTTGATGACTTTATGAGATATGGGTGTTAATGAGATCAGTTGATGACTTAATGAGATATGGGTGTAAAGAAAATAGGAATGAGGAACAAAATTTAATAACTTAAAATAATTTCAAATTTTTAATAACTAAGTTAAGGAATTTCAAACACAATAGTAACCAATTGAATTGTGAATGGTATTACCTTTTTTAACTCGAACCTGTCTGATTCTTATTCCATTAACAACCTTTGACATAAGATCTGGCAAAAATACTTTTCCAGGAAAGTTCATGTTGTCATAATCTTTGTATCTGTCACTAAGATTAAACCAAGGTTCAGAATGAAGTAGAGGAAGAAAAAAAGAATCCATCCAAGGCCAAAAGTCATCTGAAGATTGAAGCTAAAATAATATTTATTACTTTATTAAACAAATATTTCTTTGTCTTAAAATATAACTTGTGGCACATTATCATTTCTAATAAATAAAGAGTGAAATGAAGAAAACTATATATTTTAATATATGTATATATTTTATAAGATCTGTTTTTGTTTATTGAGGTTTGTATTCAAGAGCTTTGTGTTTCAGAGTTGTTGACAAAAAGATAAATTAACAATTAAAAAAAAAAAATGAGTAAAAATTTTTAAAACTTAAAATTAAAACTTAAAGTACAATCTAACCCATGAATTAAAATAACTATCAAATAAAATACAAGATAATAAACATTTCTGGTATTATTGCAATTAAATAGTTCTTTCAGGAATTATATTGCTTAATAAGATTTAAAAGCATCATTTCTTAATGCATTGAAACAATAAGATTAAAATATATAATAAATAACAATAACAATAAAAAAATTAATAATTTTTTCCAATTTAAAAATTTAGCCACCTTATTGTATATGAATATGCAAAATAGTAATAATAATAAAAATGGTAGATTCAAAAAACGTAAAAAAAAACATTGTATTTTTCTCTTTACTTAGACTGATTTCAGTGATATCTACAAGACTAAGAAAGGTCCTAGAAGAAATGAAAGGTAAATAATTAATAAAAATTGTAACTTTAAAGCCAAAATATAAAGTAAAATTTATAAAAAATGATTACTCTGCAAAAAACCTGCAATTTTTGAACATCTTCACCAAGTCCTTAATGTTTTTTGTAAATAAGAGGTAATTACTGAACATTGGGGATCACAGTATAATTATCAAGCACGAGGGAACTCCACAACTCCAGTCTATTAAGTTTATAAAATATGATCTTGTTTTATCAATTATATCAACTCACTCTTTGATATAAACTTATTGAAAAGTTGTGAATTCAAATAAAGATAACAATATATATTCCACTTTTAATAAATAGTTATTTTTAGCTTTTATTAAAAGCTTTTGAAAATATAAAGCATCAAATGTCTACAAAGATATTTTTGCCAATAATTTTTATAAAATAAAAATAATTCCACTGTTGTAATTAAATTTGTCAAACTTTTTTTTTTTACAAAAATCTTTTTTATGTTTATTTTATGCATATATAGCCTTTAGTTATTTCATACTTTAATACTTTGAAGAATTTTATATTTGATATTGGTGCTAAAAGTACTGGTCAAACTTGTTACCTTTTTTTTTTAGCATTAAGATTTTGTTTTTAATGCATAAAAACGAAATCTTAATGCTAAAAAAAAAAATCAAAAGTACTAGACAAACATTTTAAGGAGCAGATTGAATTTCTAAAATTTCTAAAGTATTATTTTTAAATATTTGACTTTTTGGATTAATACCGTTAACTTTGCAGGATTGCATGTGCAATAACTAATCCCAGGAAATTTAAATAATAGGGATTTTTAAATTATGAAAATAAGTTTTTAGATATTAAAACAAAATAAAATGTATGGGTAAAAAATTGTTTTTTAAGAACTTGTAAAAAGGGTGTAAAAAATTGCTTTGATGCAATTTCTTACACCCTTTTTAAGGTGCATGAACTTGTAATGAAAATTGACATAGCAAGAATTTATAACGAAAATTTACATTTTAAAATTTTGGAAAAAAATAATATAAATTTTAAAAACAATTTTATTATTAGATTTTAATGCTCAAACTAATTTTTTAATACTGTAGTATAATTTTTTATGCACATAATTATTATTTTGGTAATAATGATTAAATAATAAAGTAGTTAATTAATAAATTTATTAAATAATAATTAAATAATAAGATTAAATAATAAAGTAGTTATAAATTATAATTATTATTATTACTATTATTTATTATTTCAATCATATTTATCTAACAGTACAATTAGTGCTATTAGATAAATATGATATATATACACACACTTATATATTACATGCAATATATAATACTACATACATACACACACATATATATATTACATGCAACAATGATATGTAACAAAAAAAATATATACAAGAAAAAAATGTAAAACTAAAAAACTGAAACAAAATGATGAAGATAGCAATATAAAGACAAAGTACATGTATACCCATATATTAAACAGATATATATGTATATAAATATATAAAAGAAAAAAAGAAAATATAATTAGTAATGCTGAGTACAAGTAATATATATAACTCAAAAAAAAAAATAGACTAAGAGAAGAAATATAATAAAAAATTAAAAAACTAGTAGAAAAAAAAAAAGTAAAACTTTATAATATCTTCATAATATCTTTCCAATTCACAGACTGTATTTATAAAAGTCTATAAATATTTCAAAAATTAAAAAACAAGGTCATTTTTAATTTTTTTTTTCAAGTTATGGTGAACACTGTATTTATTTGATTTTATATGAGTGCAGGATATTTATAAAATTAAAAGTATATAATTGTACTTAAGCAAAGTTAAGTGAGATTATGAAAGAATCATCTTTCTTACAACACAACATCATAAAAATACAGCTGATAATTAAGTTAATAAGGAAAGCACTAGGAGAGAATACCTAGTAATGTTTGCAAAAAAACATTACAAGTAATATTTGTGTATGCAAATAGAAACAACTAAATTAAATATTGTAAATCTTTATTGAAAAAGAAAAAATGTTATTTACAAATTGAATCAAATTGATAATCTATTTTTATCTATTTTTAGATTGTTCAGTGAAATTAGTCAAACATGGTTTAATTACTAATTGTTTTGTCAAATCAAACACGAGTCAAACACAAATCAAACATGAGTCAGGAAAGAAAACAATTTAACATTCATAAAATGATACAAAAAAAATCCCAATTATTGTGTCAATAAGATCCACCGTTCAATCCAAGAAACAACAAACAAGTTTAAACTAGTGTATTGGATAAAATAAGTGTATGAAAAAAGCAAATATTTGAAAAAGGTTGCAAAGGTAGTTAACATGATTTTTTACCTGTAATTTTTGTATAGAAACCCTAATACAAGTCAATGACAAGATAAAATTATATCATATCCTTAATAAGCATTTATGCAGCACTTTAATTAGAATTTCCTTAAACAGTATTTCTGAGACAGAAGAGGGTTATTTAATGTTATTTACTTATTTTAGTCATGCTAAGAGATTCAATGAATTCACTAAATTGCTGAATTCACTGCATTGCATACAATTAAGAAAATGTCTTTCAGTAGCATGCTTTACTGAACTACATGTTATAAATTACATAATAACAGTTATAAGCTAATCTTGACTTAAACAATTATTAAACTATATCATATGATGTTTAGTATGTCTTTAAAATTCAGCGACACATTAATTGTAAAACTTAGCACAACAAAATACGCACCTATAATTAAGAATCAATAAAAAAATACATACCGTTTCAAAGACTTTAAACTTATCTGCTGTCATTGTAGGTCTTATTTTTAAATTAAAAAGTTCTTCTACATCACAAGTTTGATGATATGGATAACTTCCACGTGATACATAACCAAGATAAAAAACCACTATAGAAAACAAAAAGTACATTAACAGCTCCCAAGTAATTGATTGCATCTTTAATTCTGTTAAATGAGCTGCCTTCATACTTTCAATTAAAGGGATTGGAGGAGGCACCCTGATTTCATCAATTCTTTCAGTTATTGCTTCTTCATTCTTACTACTATGAAGCCAATTTTCATCACAAGCAAGCTTTTTTCCTAATTAAAAATACACAAGTAATTACAACTCGAGTTTTTTTCAAATTTTAAAAGCAAAAAAAAATAACTCAGAAGTAAAAATATTTTTTTAAAACTGCTATTAATTTGTATTCATTTATTTATAACTGTTTTTCCAACAGTAGCATAATTTATAAAAATTGAAAGCACAACCATACTGAACAACACTGCGTATGGCAAGCCCTTTAGCCTATAAATTATTAAAAATTTGCTGCGTGTTTATAGCATAGATTGTATATTTCATGCATAGCTTAACAGATACAGTGTTAACAAAATATTCTAGTAAGGAAGTAAGGTGGATTAAAGTACACAAAGTACAAGAAAGGTAGAATAAAGAACACAAATGTACAAGTAAGGTGGATTAAAGTAGACACAGTATACAAATAAGGTGGATTAAAGTAAACACAATGTAGGGTAGACCCGGACAGGTTGGCCACAGGGGCAGGTTGGCCCAGTCAAGTTTATTCAAAGGCTATGCATTTTAGCGAGCTGGGAATCTAGGTGATGATTGTTAGTTATTTAACCCTCTTTTTAAAAAAATCCTATTTATTGGATCATAGTTAGAAGTGTTTATTTAAACAATTTTTGATGTATCAAAGTAAATTTTGAACTGTTTGTTTGTTGTTAATATGCTTACAGGTGTTCGACAGTAATACATTATCCAAGTTTTCAATTTAAAGCTTGTAGTTTAAGGATTATTTTAGTATATGTTAATGGTTTAATTGTTGTAGCTTGATAGCTTGTTTTCATTTCTGATAATAAAATATTGTGTTTTGAAGTTTAAAAATAAAAAAATTAATAATAAATAATTTGAATTAAACTAATATTAATTAAGATAAGAATTTTACGTTTTTTCAATGTTTAGAGGGTTTCATACTTAGGCCCAAAACACTTCAAATTTTAAAGAAAAAAAGGCAGACCAATGTGCCCCAGCTTATAAACCTGTAAAGCAACCTATAAAGCATTAAGTGCATACTGATGTCAAAATGCCCTATGTTTATCGCAAACTTCTATAATTCAAACTTGGATTATGTCAAATTATTAATGAGAAAATTGATATTAATAAAATATTTATAAAACTTTTTTTAATAAAAACAATTACATGTTAATTATACTAATTATAACTGAAATATTGACCAAGAAATAAAATATATCAACTTCATTACACTGCTTACAGTTTCTAATGCTAAATAACAAACAACAAGGTGTTTAACTTCATGAAAAAAAAAAAAAAGAAACATCATTAAGAAAGAAACTACAATAGTAATTAATTTTTGATAAGCTATTTAAAATTACTTTTAAAAAGCTTCTCAAAAAATTTTGATAAGCTGTTTAAAAGAAACAATTAAACACTGTAGATTTCTAAGTTAATATTAATTGAATTATGAATTGACAATCTACTTAAATGTTTATAATCTATAATAAATGAATTGGATAATGAAGTTTTTAAGACCTAAAAATATGCGAGCACACTGACTTCATTATCCAATTCATTTATTGCCAATAATAAATAACAGTTAACCACCCTAAAGATCTGAAAATGTTTTTTTTTTTAATTATTCACTTCCCCAGGGCCCGAGGGGGCCACTACAGTTAAGGAGGCTACTCATTTTTTTTTTTTTTTTGTAAATCGTGGTACAATCCTCTCTCAACTCTTTAACTCTGACACACAAACCTTGACAAGCAAGGCCGCTGTACAGAGAAATTAAGTTGAGCGCGGTACTTCCAGGGACATGGTGGGAGTCGAACCTCTTGCTTACAAAGCGAGCGCTCTTACCACTACACCACTACCGCATGTTTGCTGACTTATTGGACATGGCAGATAACGACTTCAAAAAAGAGCTTGGTAATGGGACATTATATAAAAAAAACTTCAGTGAAAGCCAAAAAAAATACTTACTCAATATCAACGTTGTGTCTTAGAAAATTTAAAAGATGAAAATTTTAAATTGTATGACAGTTTATTATTAAAGAGTCTAAGTTGCTGCTAAAACAACTCATGGATTATACAAACCATTGGATTCAAAACACTGATCAATTATATTTTGGAAAAAAATGTGGCTAAAATATTCAGTTTGTAAATAAAATAAAATTATGTAATGAAATTATGACCAATTCAGATAAATAGAAAGTAGCCAAGTGTAACCAACTATGTTATAAATACCTATGTATAAACTATGTAATCAGACCTATGTAAATGACAACATAGCAAACTAGGAACAAATGAACAGAAACACTGACAGGACAGTCAGTGTTTTTAATAATGAAACCTTTCAGGTAATAATAGTTAAACTTGGTCTGAAAGGTTTAGATTGTGAATATGAAGATTTCAGTATATACAGCAAATAAAGTCACAGGAAATTGAAGAGCAATTGACTGAAAAAAACACGCTAAGAAATGGAAAAAAAAAATCATTTTTCTAAGTGTTAGTTTAAGACTATTTATAAGACATAGATAGACAAAAATAGTACAAAAATTAATCAGTATACAGTAGATATTAAGTTAGTATACCATGAATAAAAGGAGTGGTAAAGCTAACAAATGATTTTAAAAAAGCACTTATTCAACACACAGAAAATAAAACTGATGAAATACAGAGACATTATATACCTTATGAAATTTTTATTACACAATATCATGAAAAAGAATATATTTACAATTTTTTACAGTTTTATTTACAAGTTAGAGAAAATTTAAGTTAGAGACGACAGTTGCTCCAATAATCTCACTTACGACAGTTATTTGAATAAACCATCAGAGGACCAAACAAGACCAAGCATTTGATGGATAAGCCAAACACAACAGCTTATCATTTAAAAATTAAACTTTAGCAAGAATTATTTCAAGTATATACTATATTTATATAATTATATAATTGTATATACTATATTTTTAAAGATTTTCTATAGCTGCAATTTGTGATATAATAGAATGAATGCATGTAAAAAAAAAATATTTGTCAAACTTTGAGGTTGTGTTAAAAGAAATTCTTGCTGAAGACAGATCTCAAGAAGTAGATTTGGACTAAAGTCAATTAAAGTTAGTCAAAACATTGAATAAAGTCAATTAAAGTTAGTCAAAACATTGAATAAAGTCAATTGAAGTTAGTCAAAACATTGAATAAAGTCAATTAAAGTTAGTCAAAACATTGAATAAAGTCAATTGAAGTTAGTCAAAACATTGAATAAAGTCAATTTAAGTTAGTCAAAACATTGAATAAAGTCAATT